CCCCAAAACCCCAAAACCCCAAAACCCCAAAACCCCAAAAAGATAGCAGGAGTAGTTACTGTGGGCATTTAATTATCTGGTATTTTAAAAGACCTTAAAAATACAATAGCAGATAATATTCGAGTATTTACAGAGCAAGAGATGCAGTTATATTTAGGCCTCTTAAGCAAAAATAGCAAACTTTTCAAAGAATTTAGTATCCTAAAACCTCAGACTGGCTTGAAGACTTGGCGATATAAATTTCTTAAAAAATTATGACTAAACTTCACTGATATTAGAGATGAAAACATCCAGTCCTTTGTTGTACAGCTCTTGAGTGGCCAAACAGTGGTTTGGCTCAATCTTCAGTGCAATTTCAAATTTGTTCTTGGCACTAAAAGATTAAAAACTGAGAACAGCCAGTCAGGATCCCGCAACGAAGGGTTCCCAAAGGGATTTATGAATACCTCCATAGAGAAATATTGAACGTAAGAGGCTTACCTTGAAAAATCACCGTTTATTTTCTGGACAGTGCCCCACATGACCCAGTTTTCAGGATCTCGGGGGTTGATCTCGATGGCTTTCCTGATATTTACAATTGCATCGACGAAGAACTTCTCCTTGATTAATGCATAAGTCCAATTTCGAAGATACATATAAAATTCTGGGGCATTTTGGTCGACATTGTTGATATCTATGTAGCAGGGGTTATAACTATCCTCATTAAAGATACTAAGAGTAATACTTACGATCTTCACAGACTTTAATGGCCGAATCATAAAATCCAGAGATATTATAGGCATAAGAAAGGTTGCTAGCAGCGCCGATGTTTGACTTGTCATATTTTAAGCACCTTCTAAAAGCAATCTTTCAGTCATCGTATTTCCCACCTTTAAGATAGCTCATGGCTTTATAATAATACACCTCCGAGTTGTGTGGGGTGAACCGAGAAGCAGCTTCGAAGCTAGCAGAGGCTTCTAGGTATTTTTCCAATTCATACTGGCTGAGGCCCAGGTAGAAGTAGGCATTAAAAGAGTAAGCGTATTTCATTGCTTCTTTTACTTTGATTTTATTCTATTTATAAATTTCCACACCAAATTACTAATATCCTTTCATCGTCTTTCTCCTTCTCAGTGCCTTCAACTTCAGGGTAGTCGACATGAAACTGATAGTTGCTCAAGTCTGTGTGATCTTCGATAAACTTCAGTGCTATCGCACATGCCTTGATGTTAGAATAGAGCTTACTTTTTGATAGCCTTCGGCATCTTTTCCATCTTGAGCATATTCCTCGATAGTTTCAAGTACCTCAAGCTCTATTTGATGAGTTTTGAGAGTGCTTACCGAGCTTTTCCTCTCTAATATCAAAATCTCTGCGTTGATCTGGGCTAATGAAGCCTCTATAATCGGTCTTCTGGGAGTCTTCGAGGAGAATGTAGTTTATAAAGGACTCTTTCAGTCTTTGGTTCAAATAAGCATGCTTTGGCTTATAATTCTTCTATATTTGTGTTAAGAACTGCATCAAATGCAAAATACATGATATATAAGTAAATCCTACATCAACTCCGGTTTCTATAGATGATATTAACATTAAAGAGTACTGTGCAGTCTGGAAGCAGCCTTAAACTCCTCTCTTGATTTCTTTGGGAACCTCTGGCCTCGCCTAATGGGAAGTTTGATTTCTGTTTCCTTCACCTCAGGGGCTTGCTTTTCAACAAGTTCTGATTTCTGCTCTTCTTTGAAATCCTCAAAATCCATTTCTTCGTAACTATCCATATGTTAAGATTAAATATCTAGCATGTTGATTAAAATTGGGGTTTTGGGGTTTTGGGGTTTTGGGGTTTTGGGGTTTTGGGGTTTTGGGGTTTTGGGG